GGCAAAAGGTATAGGCAAGGTGGAATGATGTAGTAACATTGCCGGGGCAGGTATGGGTCTTCTAGGTGTTTATTCTGTTTTCCTGTTCTCCTAACAACAAAAAATTCCATCCAAAATGCAGCCCTCTGTTTCTAACACAGTAATAAATATCCTCCATTCTCTAGGGGTGGAGCTATGTGTGTAGTACTTCGCCGTTGCCGCGGTCATCTATCCCTTGTGAGCCAAATGGTAATTAATGTAGAAATCATAAACATCCAGACTCTGGTAAATCATTATGATTTAACCTAACATTTGATCCTCGTACAATGAAAGTGAGGTAGAATCTCCTCATTCTGCAGTCATTTCCTTGTAGACTTTATCCTCACCGCTACTTCAAAAGCACGGGAAGATTGGAACCCCCCCCCCCCCGTTCCTACAGCTTATTTGTGTCAAATGAGTCCTGGAAGAGAAACGCCTGTTGTTTTTGCAGGGAATACAGAATGCCTTTTAAATCCCCCGTAGCCCAGCGAGGGCAGGTGGGAGCGAGAGTCAAGGCAGACAAAGTGGATAAGGGAGTGAGGAGGTAACAAGTCCACTGCTTTCAACTCCTTGCTATGGGGGTGGGGGGGAGGCAAAAGGCTTCTGGTGGCAACCACTAAGTACATTGTTTCAACTTCTTCCCTCTTTGTTTGAAAAGGTTTGCATGAATAATGTCTTAGATGTTGGTTAATTGGTAATTGTGGATTCTTTCAGCCGGCCAATAGGGAGAAGGCTTGAAGATGTTCACACTGAGTCATTGTATCACACCTCACTATAACATGGTGAATACGACACAGAACTGAGTTTGAGTCCCCGCTCCTCTTCCTGCAAGCTGTGACCTTGAGAAAGGTTACTTTCTCTCTAGCCTTCATTAACTCATCTGTTAAAAGAGGGATTAATGACACCCTTCTTCTAAGTACTTCTACGATTGCTGTGGGGAATCCAGTTTCTGTGTGCTGGAGATTTCATCTCAAATCCTTTTTGACAAACATTGGCCGAAAAAAAAATAAAGAGAAAATAAAAAGAAACAGAAAGAGAAAGAAAGGAGGGAAGGGGAGAGAAAGAGAAGAGGAGAGGAGAAAAAGCTGACAGAAAATACGGGTGAGTTTTGTTACCTCTCACCTCTTCTGATGTAGACAGAGCAGCTTAATTAGTGGCCCATTTTATAGATTTAGAAGACAGCTTGGCAATTTGCCTAGGATCACTGGTGAGCTAGAGCCAGGTCAAGAACTTGGGTCTTCTGCCTCTCCCTGGTCTAGTAAGTGTTGGTTGGCAGCTCCCACCCGAACGTGGAACACTGCCCTGTACAATGGGCGTGAGGTGGAGGGGGGGGCAGTCTGCCATGATGGTTCTCCCCTCATCACCGCCTTAGTGCAGACCAGCGCTAGCCAAGGGCTGGGTCTCTTTGTGAACGAGATTAATTCAGAAGAATCTCATGAAAACAAAATGACTCAAAAAATAATTCTTTTAACATCAATAATAAGTGCTCCTCTCCCCCCCCCCCCATGCACACACAGTTTACAGTATTTTACACTTTTTGCAAAAAAGCATTAGCAGTTTTTGGGTATGCGATCTCTTATACTGCTAAACTCATGTTTTGCATCAACTCATCATAATTTCAGGTGTGGAGATGGCTTTGGCATTTTCTCTGATATAATGATTCTCCCTGAGCTATTTTAATGTCTTGGGTAAGTTTTAGCTTCCCGGGCATGGCCTCTGATTCTGAGTGCTTGGGCCCAAGCCTCAGCTGTATCTCTCACATGTGGAGTGGCCTTGGGCAATTTTTTTAACTTCTCTCTACTTCAGCTGCCTCATCTTTAAGAAGGAGATCATAATGGTGCGTGCCTCAGAGGGTTGTAAGAAATCAGCGAGGGGATCTTTGTTTAATGCCCGCAGAGAGTGAGCCCTCAGTACAGGTGAGCTATGAATAGTGATGAGCCTGTTCTGTTTGCAGTTTACGAAGCTGATAGACGTGGCCATATGTAACAGGCATTGATACTATCTTAGTAAAGTCGATAAAATTTCATTTCCAGTCATAAAAACAATTACCTAGGATCCACCTGGAAATCATAAGCAGAAACTAGGTCGGCTAGCACAGAGATACTTGTGTGCTATAAAGACCCTTCTAGATTCAGCCACCATCAAGAGCACTTTGTGTTTAAGAGCGTGGTGAACTCCAAATTCTTCCAGTTCTTAAAGTTGATCCTTCCAATGGAGTCACAGCTGAGCTTGGATTGGTGCCAACCATCTGGGCTTATAACGAAGTATCAACAGAACAGAAGTTCAAAGGGAATGACAAATCAGTTCTTTGCTTTTTACCTTTCTAGTTAAGGTCTGGAAGGGCTTCTTCCTTATTGAATATGACCTTTTAAGAAATGTAGTGTTCATCTTTCCCAAGGGAATCATTTTTCTTATGGAATTCAATTTGCTTTAGGTTTCTTTCTCTTCTGCTGACTTTGAAAGGTGAGGCCAGGGCACCAGGGCATGTTTTGTTACTGACACCTGCTATTTCTCTCAGCTCTGTCATAAATCCCATTATGGTAGGCCTCATCTCCTAGGCCAGGTCTCAACCTAATCTGTTATAAGATGTGCTGTTTGCTTAAGAACATGTAGCATCTCTCGTACCCAGTGTGGCAGCATCACTGGGGACCATACCGTCCCTGCAGATAGAGCCAGGTGCCGTGGCCCATCGAAGCCCCCCAAACAGCAGAACCAAACGTTGCCAGGCAGAATTGACCCACTTCAGCATTGTGTGCGGCCCTGGGCAAGTCCCGAACTTCCTCTGGCTTTAAGACTTTTCATCTCTGACACTACGAAGTGAATTATCTCAAAAATCCCATCTAGAGCTCTCTTTCCCTTGAGCAGGGGTTTGTGCTAAGTTACTATTTGTGCTGGGGTTAGGGTTCTCTGACCAAATAAATTTAGGAAATGCTTATCTTATTCTTCTCTTACAGAGTCACAAGACACACATGCATGTTAATGTCCCTGAGAAGTCCATGGTTAAGAAACCTGTCTAACAATGCTTAATCAAGTATTTCTCAAATATAGGTGAATATGCAAATTAAAGCATTTTTATTCATTAATATTGCTGACTGACAACTGCTTTCCTGGGAAGAGTTCCGGAGGGTTCTGAGGGAGAGACCTGTGCTCCAGGGTTCCTAGATGATTGGGTTATGTAAGGCAAAGAACACATAGCAGTATCTCTGATTTTTTTTTTTTTTTTTTTTTTGAGAAAGAGAGCCGGCACGGGGGTTGGGGTTCAGAGGGACAGAGGGAGAGGGAGATTATTAAGCAGGCTCCAAACCCTGCACAGAGTCGACTTGGGGCTCCATCTTACGACCCTGAGATCATGACCCCTGAGCTGAAATCAAGAGTCGACGCTTAACCGACTGAGCCACCCGGGTGCTCCAGTATCTCTGATTTTAAAGGACCTTGCAGAAGTACCATTGCCGTGTAATTAGAAAATGTTTGTATGTTTTAAACAGTTTTTGAGCAATTGGTTTGTGGAGTCTAATAAATCACCAAAGTATTCATGCTTCAACTAACAGGAGGCAAATCTGGGGGGTCGTGGCTTGGAAGGAGCTACCTTACTGGCTGACTGCTCACAAAGTCAAAGTTTCAATATCGGCTTGCCCTCCACCCCTGGCAGTCCTGCCTTATGAAAGGCAAGGAACCTGTGCAAGTTGCTTTTCACTAGAGTCCTGGGTTAGCTGCAGGAAACAGTGGCAGCACCACACACGCTTTCTTCCTCCCCCTTTCATGTCAAATCCGCTAAGAATCATAATCTGAGATTCCAGGGGAGTAGGAAAGACTAGCTTCCATTACATTTGAAGTGAGGCTAATGAGAATTAAAAAACGCAGTTGTGAAAGGCTTCTATTCCATCTTTTGGTAAGACTCCCAAGACACTAACGGAAAAACATTAGGGTAAAGCATGAAATCACTGTCATGAGAATGTTAGGCATTAGGCGTAATCAGAAGATTTCAATCAATGTGACTGGCCTTTTGGCAGCAGCTGACATAAGACAGTTCTGCAGATGCCAAGCATTTTATCAATGAGTGGTCCAGTTGGGATCCTTTGTCTGGCGTCTGGTGCTTCGGCCAAGTCAGGAGGACGTTATCAGAGGCACAAAGTTCCAGGCAGTGGCCTGGGCTAGGAGGAGGGCGGATGGGGTAATCCAGGGGTATGGCTGTCCCCAGAGCCATTTCAAAACAAAACAAAAAAAGCCACCTAGACGAGGAAGAGAGTAAGCCAGGGAGGTGCAATTAAAGTTGATATTGAAACAGTGTGATCATGTAGTCTTTCCTTCTAGTGGGTAGGTTATGGGCTTTATATTAAATTAATATCTCAGAATGGGCGCTGGTGCTTGTGTCTTAATTACAGGAATTAAATTATTTACCCTCACACTTAAAACAATTTATGCCGGAGGACCGGTTGGCCAGTAAATGTATCTGAGGCTGGGGATATTTGTCCTAAGTGTCTTTTCCCATTTAAACTGTATCTTCGTCATGTTTCCAATTTGCAAAAGCCCTGGTGTTCAAAAATAACTGGGAGAAACACCGGACTGTGGGTGGCGGGTAATCCAACCCAGCATCAGGGCATTCCTGACCAAAGGGAAAAAAAAAATGCCTGTTTCCTGAGCCTTTCCGGATGAGGTCATTGTTTTGAGATAGCCTGTACCTAATATAAACGGGCTCAAAGTCCACGGCTTGCCTCAGACCAGTGTTTTGTCAGGGAACCACATCCAAAGCCATGAGGACTAGTCGCGCTGGGAGTAAAAGGAACCTGCTCAGAGTTATAGTATTTTTGTTAAATCCTTGTTTTCAAAAAAGCAATAAGTGCCCATCTGGTGAGACAATAATTCATTAAGTGAAAAAAGGAAGCAGAAGGCTTGGGAACATCAGTCTCTTCTTTTTTGCCTCATGTGTTTGAGTTACTGTGAAATGACAGTGACCAAACTCTGGATTCTGGATTGTGCAGAGTGGAGGAAAATCTGAGGAACATTCTGGGCGTGTTTTAATGGCTTCCCAGAAAGGATGATATTCTGCAGGTGTGATGTCGATGAACTGGTGTGTTCTTAAGAGTGGCCTTCAGAATTGGTAGGAGACAGAGTGGGGAGGAGAAGGCGGTGAAGACTGTACACGAGGAAGGAGGTAGAATCATGCAGGAAACTTCTCGTTCTTCCTGAGCTGGCTGGGGCACACCCTTTGGGTGGCACACCCCTCTCTGGAGTCCAGCTCAGCCCACGAACTACTGGGAGGAAAGCCAGGGCCTAAGACTTCCCTTTGAGGAGTGCATGCAGTCGTTCCGTGTGTGCCCAGCCACCTCGTGAAGAAAAGCTGAAATCTTAGCTCTAAGATTTGTGTGTTTGGTTAATGACCCGGGAACAGACTGAGTTCATGGAGCTCCATCACATGGTTGAAGACAACCAAGGTTGGTTTGTTCATTCTGTAAACTGTGCTGCCTGGGGTAGACCATGTCTTTAAAGATGGGGAGAGGGCAGGGGCATTTGCGGTAGTTGAAATAGTTATATGCTTATTATAATACGTTAATACTCTATGCACATAACATATTTTTTGTATAAAATATGTATCTTCGGTAGCAACATATTTAAAAATATTATTAATGGGGTTTAAAAATCAACAGGACTGTTTTGTAAGGAATCCAGCTAAATTAAATTAAATTAGGAGCGCCTGGGTGGCTCAGTTGGTCACGGGTCTGCCTTCGGCTCAGGTCATGATCCCAGTATCCTGGGATCGAGCCAGCCCCACATCGGGCTCCCTGCTCAGCGGGGAGTCTGCTTCTTCCTCTCCCTCTGCCCCTCCCCCCATGCTCTTTCTCTCTCTCTCTCCCTCTCTCTCAAACAAATAAAATCTTTTTTAAAAAATAAGTTAATTAAATTTAGATTGGTCTGTTGGAGCACTTTAAAAAGTGTCTTCAGTGACTGAGTGAACCCTGTGATCCCATTTCTGCTCCTGTTCTCTCTTTTTCTTTTATACCCCATTTCCGTGACAATACTTCTCTGTTAACATAGCTCTGAGATGAATTCTTTCCTCCTTGGGATGTAGTTTTTGTGCCCCTGCATGGGCTACACAGGTGCTTTGAGTTTGGATGCGTCCCTCCTCCCTTGAATGCTTCACTGATAGTTGTGTTTTGTGGGAGTTTGCTCCCTAGATAGGCTGGCTTCAGGAGGGGGCCAGCCTGTCCTGCTCAGCATCCCAGGAACTGGCAGACAGCACCCCAACTTCAGAGGTGGCCCGGCACAGTCTTTTTTTTTTTTTTTAAAGATCTTATTTATTTATTTGAGAGATAGAGAGCACATGAGAGGGGGGAGGGTCAGAGGGAGAAGCAGACTCCCTGCTGAGCAGGGAGCCTGATGTGGGACTCGATCCCGGGACTCCAGGATCATGACCTGAGCTGAAGGCAGTCGCTTAACCAACTGAGCCACCCAGGCACCCTGGCCCGGCACAGTCTTGCGGGCTACTCCACTGACACCAGCAGACTGTGTCAATTCATGCTGCTTCTTTTGATACTGGACCCTTTAAGATAAGAGATTGTAACTTACTTTGATTTCAGGAGAATAGGCTAGCACGTAATTCCACGTAAGGCAGGTGCGCTCTGTACCCTCCCTTCCAAGTGCTCTGCCCGTCACCGTTTACCAGGACCTCCAGGGAGCTGGCGTTTGCCTTCCTCCCCAGGACAGGTAAGACCAGGGAGCCTAGCTCTGCTGTGCCTCACATGTACACACTTGTTGAGAGGGACAGAGGAACTGCAGGTTGGCACCCTCTGTGACTGATGAATAATTCATGGTGACTTCTTATGCCATAAAACTTTTTCCTGCAAATGAACATTATTTTGAAAGAATGCTCATTTAAAACTCCGCAGATGTTCCGTATGCTTTCTTGACCTGCTTTAGACATTTACTGGGAAGACAAAAGTTGACAAACTTCAGAATAATAAAACGTAAAGTGGATAGGGGCCCCGTGTGGGCAGTCAGCCAACTCTGTCGAAACTTGTTCCCTCTTATTCTTTCTAAAGTGTAACATCACCTGATGTTATAAAAGGCCTCTAGATGCGCTAATAATCTCTGGGCTCTCCTCGAAGATAGAATCTGAATTTTAATGATAATACTGTGCATCTTAATTAATATTAATGTATTACTAGTATTTAGAGTTAGAAGCTCTGATTCGATGGCTTTTCCTAAGTGAAAGGGATAAAATTAGAATATCTCAAGATGTCTGCATGTCTCTATTTGAATAAAGCCCTCTGTTTTCCCTGCACTGTAAAAAGTGGATTTTGGTTTTGATTTCCAGGAAAGATAGGGCAGGTTTTAGAAAGTCTTACATGACAGATTATAAGTAAACAGAGTAAGCCATATATCTGATTATATTCTTTTGAGGTCAAACTGGAAAAAATAATCTTTCAAAAGAATTTCATTTCTTTTTTCCATTTTTCGACTGTTTCTTTCTACTCCATGGCATATTTTTAAGGGATTTGGAGTCTTTCCACTCGCTTCCAGCTGGAATTTACAGAAAGTGTATCTCTAGAACACTCAACAGTTGACTTGAATCTCGGTCATAGTTAAATTGGAAGGCTGGCAGATTATTCGGAGACTCAAAAACAGGCACACCTTATGTTTGGAGCATAAGGACTTTCACTACTCTGCATTGTTTTAAAAGTATTCTCCGTTGGGAAAATTGACGATTGTATTCCGATTACCTACTTTTTAAATAGAAGGATATTCTGAATGGATCTATAATGAACAAGTTTGACCACTCCTAAATTTTGTCTCTTATTCCTGTAGCTGGGTCCTTGATGCTTTAAAGCTTTAACAAAGCTTTCCCTGCTCACCCGTCCCTCTTTAATGAGTACATCATTCTGTCCTTTCTCTCCTCGCACACCTTGAAAGCATTAGCTACTAAGATGACTTTTGATTTACTACCTTCTGCTCTAAACGATATGCTTAGAGCTGGTGTTTGCATACAATTAACAGTAATTTAGGCGTACGAGACACCCAGCCTTCTCCTTTATATTAAAATCTAACTGTTGGGGTGCCTGGCTGGCTCAGCTGGTGGAGCGTGCGATTCTTGATCTCAGGGTTGTGGGTTCAAGCCCCGCGTTGGGTGTGGAGATTACTTAGAAATAAAATCTTTAAAAAAAATCTGATGGTTGACATGTACTTCTCCGTCGTAACATACACTTTAAAGTTGGGATGACCATCAGGATACCAATTCAGAATACTGGGACTGAGATTTTGCAAGACTTACCTCTAAATGCCATTCCCTTCCAGAAAGGGGGGCGGGGGGAATGCAACGTGCTGACGAGCACTCCTTTTAGATTTCATCTGAGAGAATGGAATGCTGGACAGGTTTTTCTGCTTTAAGAGACTGTCGCAGCTGCCACTGTAAATGAGCTCTGCCAAGGTCAGTGACCAGTGGGTCAATTAGAGCATGACATTGCCAGGGACATGCCCAAGCAGTGGGAGCAGGCTGCGGGAGCACTGGCTACCCGGTTTTTTATAGAACAGTCAACAATAGAATGAGCTTTGAGAGCTCTCGTCCCCATCTCCCTCCTTGTTCCTGTCTCCTCCTGTTCCCCCCCCCCCCGGTGTAGTTGATGCTTGCGGGCTCCCTCTCCTTCTGACTGCACCACGGTACCTTGACCACCCTCAAAGAGCACGTATCTTGAAGATCTTAATGGAATAGAAACTCCCTGAGCCTGGTATTACTCTTCTTTATAATACTTTTCATGGGACTCACACCTCATGCTGACACATGAATTGAAGTGGTAGACAGCTAGAAGGTGAACTGAAATGCACAGTGCCCTTAGGAAAAAGGTCACCACATTAGGGGACTGTTATTATTTTGTGGAAAGCCCATCTCTTGACTCTTTTTAAATGATTTAAATGGTCTGTTTTCCCGATTTTTCCTATGTAAGGTGTTGTTGGCGATGTGAACCCTCAAATGCGGGTTCAGAAGCATGAGTTTAATTAGCCATTTTACTTCTGAGACTCCTGGCCTCACCCAAGTCTTTATTATTATTATTTTTTAACTTTAAAGGAACTCTCTAATACTGTCTCTCTAATTGGTAGCTTCCTCAGGGAGGGTCTGCTGATGTGTCATAGAGCCCTCCTTGGACTTGGCATTAAAGCAGCTCATTAATGTTCTGTTATCATTAATTTACTAAGCATCTTTCAGCAGGTGGCAGGCACTGTGCTAGGTACCGTACAGAATAAATCTCTGTCATTTGGAAACCATAATCTTGGAAGGATCACTGGCATTATGTGCCAAAGACGAGCTGAGCAAGTCACCTACATGACAAGTTAATAAGCTCCTGAGCAGGGTGAAGAATGCAAGTATAGGACTATAAGGTGTTAGGGGAGATAGTCACTTCGGGAGACAAGGATGCTGGCTAGAGAAGGCCCAGGGCTCCTTGGGATAGAGATGAGCCCAGTGGTTTCAAGGGGCACAATCTGACCACCGATCATATCTCACCATGGCTCCAGAGTGGAGGAAGGTTGCCTTTTGTTCTTCGGAACCATCACAAGGGATTGGGGATTTATTTTCCCCTTGCTAAAATGGTATTCTCCGGTGAATTTCATAGTTATTTTTTCTGATGTAAACCTATCATTTCAGACTTGCAGAAGGAAAGCAGGTCCCCTCTGGACACGGTGTCAAGCTCTTAAGCTCTAGAGGAAGAGACATTTGGCTCCCATCATGGTTTTGATATCTACTAGCTGTGTAAACTTGGGCAAGTGTCTTAAGTTCTCCAAGCCCGTTTCCACATCTGTAAAATGGAGCTAGTAGTACTATCTGCTTTATAAGATCATGAGTATTAAATGAGTAGGTTTATGTTTATAAAACCCACGACACAATACCTTACTTGTAATAATGAATGACTTATGTAATTACTGGTTATAGCTCCACCTGATAAGTGTAGATGCTTCCAAATTATTTATTTCGTTGAACAGTGCCTTGGAATCCAAGACCTTGATTCTAGTTTGCTTATTTTTTTTAATTTTTATGTGTATATTTTATTTTATTTTTAATTATACAAATCACATAAGAATAAGCTTTTGCTGTAAAATTTCAAACAGTATATTAATGGCAAAAACTTCCTTTGACCACCATCCAAACCTACGGGGTACTACTATTATCAGTTTTATTTATTCATTTTATTTTCATTAAAGTAATTCATGTTCCTAGTTTTATGAATGAAATAGTGTCTTCTCCCATGAACAGGAGACAAAGGAATGAAAGCCAAGGATTCTAGAGTTTTTCTGGCTTGACTCCCTAAGATGACCTGTCCCTTCCTGTTGCTCAGTGTGGCTCTTTATTTATCTATTTCATAGTTTCTTCTGACACATGACACATTACGGTTTTTGAAAGTTTGGGGTGCCACTTCTAACCTTTATGTTTTAGATATCTATTGTC